GCTTTCCGTCAACCATTGTGGTATATTATCGGTTGAACTATGTGTTTTATCACGTACGTCGAACCCGTTTCCCTCCTGAGTGTATACTGAGGAGAAAAAATTGTTCAGCGCCTCGGCCCTCTCCTTGTCACTTGTGAGTAACTTCCCGTTTTCATCCTTTATTGGGCCTATCTGCTCCTTTCTTACCTTTTTACTGTTAATATATTGGTAGAATTTTTTAGGGTTTTTTTTTTACTATCTGCGGCGATATGCTTTTCGCATTCTATTTTAGCTTCCCGAGTGCATGCTCTACTTTTTTTCACCGAAAACATAACGCAATGGAGCGGAGCGGTTCATTCAATTTTCCATTTTTAACCCCATTCAATTTTCAGTAACCCTTCCATTAGCATCCACTGAAAAACGTATCACAACGCCATTGGGAGGCTGACCATTTTAATTTAAAGATTCAGTGAGAAACTATGGGTATATGTAGTTATTTTTACTAATAGGCCCAGTTTAAAAAGTCCTAGTATAGCATTTTTGTACAGTCACCAAATGATGTATTCTAACCATGTCCCTATCAGCCATTGCAGTAAAATTGTCACTAGGGGAGTGGATATTCTAACTGGATTCTAATTGTCATTAGACAGTGGAGATCATATTCTAAAGGCACAAAGCCAATCAGAGTGGCTCTGTATCTTGTTATTGGTGTGATGGTTGATCACAGGGAATACATATGTAAACAGTAGTACTGTTTGAGAGCCTTCCTCTTCCTCTCGAAAGGGAAGGAGGAGGATCGCAGGCTGCAATCTGGAGAGGAGAGCGAGCATACACCAGAATGGCTTCAATTAAGGTGGGGAAGGGTTAAATGTTGTGGGATTGTTTGTGGAGGGTTTTAAATGCCACTGACCACAGCCCTTGTCCTTCTCTATGGGACTACGCGGTCGTATGCCGCCCTACGATCACCCACCCTGCACGTCCGTGCGGGTGTCCGTACTCATGCGCTGACAGGATGGATCCTGTCTGCGTCTGAGCTGGGACACCCGCACAGACCTGCACTTGAGGTGAGTGTAGGGCGGCGTATGGCCGCGTACTCCCATAGAGAAGGACAGGGGCTGCGTACTAATCACACACAGCACCTGTCTTTCCCGGGAGCTGCCCGATAAGGCCGTGCACGCAGCACGGAGCTGCACGTGCCGGCCTTTTCTCGTGTGAATGAGGCCTAAAAGGCTAAACACACTGTAACCACCCAAATACCAGCATGTTCCTTCATCTCCAAAATATTGTGACAAAAGTAAGCCTGAAATGACCTTGGGTTGTCCACTGTCTAAAAAGTGGTCATTTTGGGGGTCTGGCATTTTTATTTGATTTGTTTTATGACAGAGTGTAAGGGATTTTCAGTCTTTTCTCCTTGATATATTAAAAGAAAAAAAATTAAAAACCCAGTGGTTATTAATTGCAAGAAAAAACCCCTCTATCAGTAAAACTATCACAGGACAGGTGGTTAAAGCAGGGCTGGACAAATCCCAGGAGCCAGGTAGCTAATGCGCTTTAAAAATTACAGCTGGTGCATAACTTTAGAGGTTTTCTTTAGTTGTCAATGGGGTCACCAAGGGTTTTGGCTCCGGAATTCCATATCAGTTTGTCCACCCAGATCACTTCTAATACTGCAATCAGCCAACAATAGCTTGCTATAGCAGTGATGTGTTGCTGCAGGGAGGCCCTGGACAGAGCTTTTACAACTCTGACCAGCACGTCATACAAAGAGGAAGTGCCATAACGTCATTCGTGAAGTCACAAGACTCCCAATGTAAACAGAATGTGGAAGCATTCTGTTTACTCTTGCTTCAACAGCATGCTCCTGAAGCGAGCTGTACAAGCAACTGAAACTCAGGAGCTAATCGCTTCCAGCTGTCAGGGGCAGCTGACGGGGGCTGCACGAGCCATTGAGACCATCACCATTTTAAAATAGCGTTAGAACAACTCTTAAGGTTTGTATTGCGGTCTGTGTCTGGAATTTGTAGATGCAACAACAACACTAAAAGCTTTGTTTAGATTTCAGTTTTAAAGCCTGTGGAACTGTTAGCTGCCACAGATTCAAGCATCCTTGTCTACCTTAGAACATTAAGGTTGTAACGCTGTCCATACAAAGCACAGCCATTGTTATCACTAGGACAGGAAGGGGGCACAACCTCTCCAACATGATCGCAGGAAGCAATGACAACTCTACAGAGAATTCTAATCCTTCCATAGCTTACCCAAAACTCAAGTGGAATTCCACAGTAACACGTTGGAGTTTATGACTACATGGAGAGCTCCTAACAATCTATGGCGCATTTGTCCATGATAAGCTGATACAGATTGCTCACTTAAACAGCAGTGTTCACCCAGTTGGGGAATTCATAATAGATCAGTAAGGGTAAGGACGTCCAAGGATATAGTTTTAGTTTGAACTGGAAATCCCTCTCCTAACAGAACCCATCTTACCTCCATGCTCTAGGAATACTCTCACACATCGTTCTTTTCCACGTGCTGCTGAAAAGTGAAGCAAAGTCCATCCATTGGCATCACGACCATTGGGTGAGTAGCCCTGTTCCAGCATAGTGCGAACAGTGTGGACGTCTCCAGCAGCCACCGCTGCCTGTATCCGCAGCTCCTCCTGCAGCTCAGGATTCCTGCGGCAGTGGTGATGTAACATCCTCCCCTCTGCTCTTCTTAACTATAGAGTCATGGGGCCACACGTCGCCTGTCATTGCAAACATACACATGTCAATGTCAAAAATAACAGGTGAGTTTTAAAGCAAAACTATGTAGATTTTTTAGAATTTTACGCATTTGTGTGTGTAACATTCCCTGGTTTCACCAAATACCAACAGTGATGGTTTTACAGCTTTCCTGTTGAATGCAGCCAATGCATTTGTTCTGACACTTTGGTATTTACCAACCTCTCCCTCCATAAAACATCGGGTTTCCAAAATGAATCATATTGTGCACAGAAGATTTAACCCTGATTTTAGAGACCCATGGTGAGAAATTATTAAGAATATGGTTGTTCTGGACTGACTGGTATCTCACAAGAATATGAATCCCATCATAAGAACCCAACTTCCCAGTCCTAGCTTACACAGATCCATCAAATTTATCTATCAAATGAGTAAGCAGATGTACTGTATTTCCTCCACTCCCATAGTCATAACTTTCTTCAATTTATTGTGCTTTATAACCCCTCTGAGGTTAATAAAAACACTTTGCTGGCTCTCTAAACACTTAGACCCCAGTTCACAGGCTGCATTACATATTAGAGGGTAAACGTGTTACAATTAGGGATGCACCTAAATTTCGGCCGCTGAAACATATCGGCCAAAAATTGCACGTTTGGCAAAATGCTGAACGTGCCATCTTTTGCCCGAAATTGCGCTGCATCCCTAGTTTCTCTCCTCCCTGCTGTGCGCTGCTCGTGTGGGTGCGGACGCAGCCATGCCCCGTCACAGGAGCCCAAGCCAGTGGTGAGGGGGAGGAGTGAGTCAGCTGTCAAAATACTCTCCTCCCTGCACCGCACGCTCAGCCTCCTGTGACAGCGAGTCAGGATGGAGAGCGGTACAAGCACTCAGCGATCACTGACTGCTTGTAAATATCTGGACATAGTATGAGGTACTGTGTACCAGTTATGAATGAATAGGAAGTGATCTATATCACTTCCGGTTCATTCATAATTGTGTACATATTAAACATACCATCTCCACAATGTATGAATGAACAGGAACATTCAGTATAGAGGATTCCTGTTCATTTATAATAGGTACTGCAGAAAAAGAGATTATGCACTCATTGTCCTCAATCTCTTTTACTATTTTAAAAGGGAAATATCAGGGGTCTGTTTAGACCTCTGATATTTTACCAAAGCCCCCACTTAAAGTTAAAAAATAAAAATATTTTTAAAAATATATAATAAATAAAAATAACAAAAAATTAAAACGTTTATAAAAAATAATAAAAGGTTAGAAAACATTTTTTTTGTTTCAGTCTGACTTTTTTTTATTTCTGGTTTAAAAATGTTCATTTCGGTGCACCTATAGTTATAATATCCTATAATGTGTTGTGTATATTTTACTCCCTGTGCCTTTATGTACTGCTAATGTGCATACAGGAAAACTTAAGAATACTCTGTACTTAAGAATACTCTGCATAATGTGAATTTTCTAATATGCTGAAAGCTTTACCTGTGAGAGAGGAAAAAAAAACTAGACATGCTGTATTCACAAAAACATGAGCATTTACCTCTCACGACTGTCACACCGTTTTTGTGATGCTGTGAATGCTTCTTTTATGGCTTGAGGAGCTGACACACTTCATCGCAACAGAAAAACAAAAGTCCTCACCTTGTAATAAATAAATAAATGACAAATGACATTTTCAAATAAAACATTGCTACTTGGTGCTACTATCTATTTTAACCCAAAAGTTACAATGCTATAAATTACATTTGAAAACTACAGACTGTTCTGTCCATATTATAACTACTAAAATGACCTATACCAGTATCTGACCAACAATATGAAGCCAAGGGTCATATGTAATAAATATATCTTAGTAACAACAGATACAATGTAACAATTCTAGAGAATGCTGGAGGGAATAAGCAAATAGATGTAACTGTTGCTACTACAGGGATCCCTGCATATATAGCACCACAAACAACAAAATGTCTGTAGCTTCGATCACATACATTAACCAGAATGCTGAAAAAAAATGACATTAAATGGTCACTCATTCTGTTATCCAAGTTCATCTCTTTACAAAAACAGTTCAACGCAGTATTAAATGCGCAGCTTCCAAGATATTTACCAAGGATCTGCAAGCCTGAGATGTTTAATAACAGTAGATAGAAATGTTCCTGTGTGTGACCAGCATTATATATTACTTTCAGAGGCAGGAAAAAGGAGCAGGCGGATAACGGGTAAACACCGTTTGCCGATATGTCACCTTTTCCCTGCATTAAAACCTGGCTGCTCGCCTTCTCAGATGAAAGACAGAGAGAGTCTTCATGTCTGAGGCAAAACTGAGTAGTATGTAGACTCTGATAAGGAAAAGTTGAACAGTAAGCACTTTTTGCTTTGCAAGGGTTGGTTAGGAAGGTGGTATAGAACTTTCCCTCATTTTTGTTAAATATATGGGAAAATTAAAAATATATATATATTTTAAATACACGTGCATACACTTGCACATGAGGGTGTATTTAGCAGGACAACCATATGTAGAGCAAGCTTGACTCTAAAGACCATGTGAACTATCCTTAAAAATTCCTCACTCTTCCATAACCACCATCTCTACACAGCAGCCAAATGGAAAGAGTGCAGTAGAGATTACTTATAATAAGTTGCAGAACTTAAATCACATCTCTGGGCAAAACTCTCTCTCTTCTAATTCCTCCATTGAGCTTAAAATAAAATTACCTTCTAAAGCTCTTTCTTATGCACTTATATCCTCTGTTCATGTCCCTCGCTGGCACTGCTTCCGGATGTGCCAACCTGTGATGCCGTCTGTGCCCACACTGAGCAGTTACCACTTAGTGAAGTCATCATAGTCTTCTAGAGCAGCCTTTCTCAACCAGGGTGCCTCCTGGTTTCTTAACGGGTGCCCCAATGTGAAGAGGGCTCCAATTATGAAAAAGGGGGGCTCTGATGTCAAAGAGTGGGATTCTAATATGAAAGGAGGGGGCTCCTGATGTGAAGGGGAACTCTGACATGAAGGGGGACTCTGATGTAAAAATATGAGGGGGGAGGAGGGGCTGTGATGTAATGGGGCTCCTAATGTGAAGGGGGAACCTGATGTAAAGTAGGAACCCAACTTTTTTGTGTTTTTGCATTGGGTCCCACCTTATAATCTATATCAGACCCCTATCTCTGTAAATGTTCTGGTATGGATTTTGGAGGGAGCACGCGTTTTTTTAGATTTATGCTTGTTTACTTCATTTTAGACTGGGGTGCCTCGAGATTGTGCATACTTTTAAAGGGGAACGTTGCTGAAAAAAGGTTGAGAAAACCTGTTTTGGAGGCTGAGAGGACATCACTGCTGGAGAGTCAATAGAAGTCCAGGTAGTGATGTAGACACCCAAAGAATGACCCGCTTCTTCTACAGTAAAAAAGATAGAAGACTCGGGACCCTACGTGTCACCTGACCACAGATTTAGGTAAATAAAATGGGCTTTCAGCTTAGTTTTTTTTTTGGGATAACAATGATTAGTTTAGGAGGGAAGAGGGGAGGGTGGTAATGCCCTAAGTTTAGCTTTACCTAGTACAGGAAACAGGGTTTTAGTTTACCTAGCAAGACTTATCCAGAAACCATTATTTAAACATGCCAACATGTTTTTATCACAAGATATCAACATAACTGAATATCTGTCTTACCTCTGGTCTTTTCCTTTCACTTCTACAAATTCAAGAACGGCAGACCTATGAAATAATGCAAAAGAGAAGTGAGAGAAGAAATCACAACAATACAAAAATCCCACAAAATGCCATTAGCATCATCAACATTGCACAACTGTAAAAGTCATTTAAAATTGCCAATATTGCCCCAACGATACCAGATTCAAGCTTTCAATCTCCAGTGAAGTTGGAACCTGTTGCTGTGAGGCAGAAGATTTTCATTTCACAAGTTAGCTCTGCTAAGAAGTGAACCATCGTTTAAACAAAGCACCTCTACAGAGACTTGATTTTCAGAAATGAAACTGTACACAGGAAACAGTACAATGTACAACATACAGTACAAGTATCAATATGTGTAGAAGTCACATCTGATCTACACACCAACACAATTCCTCAAAATCAAACTGAAATGGATGTCAATGTTTCCTCCTACAAATGTAGCTGTGTGCCGATGCTGGAGTTCAATTACAGTTTTATATATCATGTGTATGTGGGAAGGATAAAGGCATACACATTTTTTGTATCTTTTACTAAAAGTATCTAGACCACAGGAAATTGATATACCTTATAAATAAAAAGTGGCTGCACGGTTTATATACAAATGGCATTTATTTAATGGACATGGAAAGGTTTTTGCCAGTGTTTTCTTTAATCTGGAAAGCTGGGTATACGCAAATAGCATTTCATTTATAAAGAATTTGTTTTTGGGACATTTGCTAAAAAAATATTCAAAGGGGTCATTAACTATTGGACATCAACGAACCATTTGGACCATAGTGATGATAAAATTTAAGGATCAGGATGGAAAATGTTTGTCGAACAAACGAGATCAAAGCTCCATTGAGTTTAAGATCGCATGTTAAAATAATTTTCGTAGGAACGTTCATATGAAAATCTACCAGTGTATCCCCAGCTTCACCTCTCTTCACATGTTAGAGTTGGTGCTGTAAGACACAACAAGATAATAGACCTATAAATAGTATTCATAATCAAGCCTTTTCCTTTTGTAGTTGATGGTGGAGTTTTGGTATGTCTGCATGAATAATCTACTATCAATGCTAGATAACATCTGACAGCTATAGACAAATCGGTGAACAACATCATTTGAGCAGTAGATTCTTCGCAGACTCCAACAGACCAAAATGAAGTCATTGATTCTAGTTTCCAACATCAGGCCCCATAAAGAGAAGGGTCTAACAAAGGAGTTCTTGGTGGCCATAGCAGAAAATGAATGTGCCATACTGATAAGTTCAACAGAATGTGACTGGGTGCTATGGACAACAAAAACAGCTCCTCTTTTAGTTTAAATCAGGGTGGGACATATGAATATGGAGCCAGCCTGTCTAGTCAAGGAGCTAACCCCACTGACAACTAGACGAAACCTCATAAGTGAGGCACCAGCTGTAATTTTTAAGGAGCATTGGCTACCTGGCCCTGGTAAACCCTAACTAGACATTTAGTTGGCTCAGGCACTGTGTATCCTAAACATGGGTCTCAGTTTTATTTTGGTAAAAGATACTTTTCATCTTTTATTCATTTTTTTTTTTTTGCATCTTAGCACTCCTGATCTCCTGCAGCCACTTCCTGTCTACATGCACTTGCTCCAACGTTGGCTGCACATCATTGCTCTGGCTTCCTGACAACATTAGACGCGTGTTAGTACAATCCTTTGTAGTCTCTTCCAGGTGGCGCCTAGCCGTGCATGTGACAGGGTGACAACACAGTTAGGAGGCAGCTGTCACCCTATTAGCTCTCACATGCAGGGCTCTCCTAGTCCCCTTGTCTTAAATTGTATTTAATCTGTACTGTTTCCTTTTTTTTTTTTTTTACTACAAAGCACAAACGTTTGGTGCTCTATAAATCCTGTATAATAAGAGAAAGTGCCTGAACAAGGTCCCTTATAAGCAGATCGCCAGACAGTTTCATGAAATGATTAAGAGAACCTTTGAAATGACATTACCGTGCTGTGGTATTAGTGAATGAGTCTAGATTTACTTTAATGCCAATTGGAACTCTTATTGGAACACAATATTTAAAACATGGTGGAAGGTTAAACCAGCACAATGAAATGTTAGCAAAGTTTATTTCTGGGTTTGCAACCAAATCAGGATAATACCCACTTTCACAACACTTTAAATATTTTAAAAATGGCTTTTTACTTGTTAAAATATCTTACTTAGCTCTCCCCTTCTATGTAACGTTAGGGAGGGGGCTGGGCAGTTATTGTTTGCCAAAATGAACCCGGGCAGATCTCCATTATCAAGTGAATGTGCTAACAAAGGGTTAAAGATCTCAAGGATTGGGATGTACATTGGGACTTATCAAAACTGGAGCCGTTGCCTGTAGTAACCAATCATCTTCTCTCTTCAGGTCGGCTTTGAAAATGAAAGATAGAAGCGGATTCTGATGGCAACTGGCCATGAGCAACCGCTCCAGGTTCTGTGTGCTCCTGTTTTGATCAGTTCCGCTTATTGTAAGTTAATTCACTTTACAACTGTCCCTCCAGTCTGTCCTTTATCTGCAAGTTGCCATCCATTCTAAGCATAGGGGCATAGTAGATAGGGTTGGGAGGAGGGGAAAAGACCCAGATCCATCCAGTCCAACCTATGCGTGTGTGTAGCCATTAATAGAAGCTGTCTGTAGTATCTTTATATATATAAACCTGATCCAAAGAAACAACTACCAAGATCAGAACGATTGTTTTACACAATTATAGATCTCCTGTGTTACTAAGAACACATAACACACATATATTGGGGGAAGGGGGTTCTCTGATTTGATTGTAGAGGAGGAAATACACTTTAAATGTTTTGTGCATGACTGCAGGGGAAGAGCTCCGGCCCAGTAGAATGACAAGGCCTCCTGCACAATGCAGCCCCATGTAAACAAAGCTGAGGAAGAGCTGACACACATCTCGGTGCTCCTGGTCATGCCATTCTATATACTGCCAGCCATGTAGGTAATAGTAGAGGGTGTATACATGTGTGCAGCAATACACACCTTCCATAGACAACACACAGATGGCTGGGGGTGGGGAGGAGAGGGTCCAGTAACGGACAATGGAGTATTGTGTGGCAGCTGCCTGTACAATGGTGGGAGCATTGCTCCACGGTCACGGCTGCCCGCTCGGCTCCTGTGGCATTACGTGCACACGCTGTTTATTGAACACAGGCCGCCGCCGCGGTGCCCCCGCTGGCCATTGTTGCGGAGTAGTGGGTGCAGGGAGCGGGCACTGGGTGTGAGGGCCTGTCTGGCAGGTGGTGAGCTGCCGTGAAGGAAGGGGGGAGGTTACTATGACAGAGACACACTCACCCCCGAGACACACCACTGCCCGGCGCCTCACACCGCTCCGTACTTGCCGGGGCCTGCCCCATAACCCTCCGCGATAACGGGAAGCAGGCAGAGAAAACCCCACCACCCCCCTTCAGAAGCAACCAATCACAGAGCGGCGCCGGAAAGCGAGCCCGGAACGCTGCAAACTACAACACAGGGCTGGCACTGCGCGTGCGCGGCGGCCGGCGGCGCGGGACGTTCTTCGCGCTCATTGGCGGAGCCGTCCTCCCCGAAGCGCCTCCTTCTTCGCGGAGTCCCCTATCAGGTTGCTAGGCAACATCTAGCAGCCGCTGTAGGCCGTCGCGCAGGCGCTGTGCTGGCGGAAGTTGTGTGTGCTCAGTGCCTCGCCTTCCCCTGTCAAGCGTTTGGACAAGTAAGAGAGATTCAAAGGATGCTCAATTGCTCGTGCGGCGTCTGAGGTGGGGGATATAAATGCATGGTTCGCTGCTGTCCGCGATTCCTAGTCACGTGTCTATGCCTGAGGGTACAGCAGACGTCAGACCTGCGGTCTTGGTTGAAGGAAGTTGGGGGGCGAGAAAGCAATGTGACCGCCGTTTGAAAATTCTAGTTGCTGGTCCTCTGGCTTGAGCCGCTGTCCTGAAACAAGTATGCGGCGAGGAAAGTCAGAACTCTGATCTGTGTTTCTTCCTGGGCTTCATTCCTTAAAGGCATAGTCCACCTTTTGCAAAAAATGTAATACATGCACCACATAAAAAAGGTGAATTTATTGCATTGAAGCCTGCAGACCATTGCAAGCCTGGCCTGTCACTGGTGGCTGCCATAGGTGACACTTTAATAGCTTTTAGCGCTCATCAATTTTGTATTGGGAGTGAGTGATTGCCCCAGAGTTCGGGTTGATATGTAACGTGTGTGGGGCAATCGACCTTTTCGCACGTAGAAGCACCCGATGCATGTTTATGTGATCTG